TCCATTTACCTGCAAATGCCAGGACCATACTGTGTTACTTTTGATCATTTAGATTTTTCTTTAGTCATTAGCATAAAGATTACAGTGGTATAACAAAATTTGACAATCTAAGAATTCTGGTTATTTTTTAGTAGTAGTTTATAAAGTTTTTACAAACTTTTTTTTTTCTTTGCTGGTTCACAAAGAATGTTCTGTATCTAGGATTACATGCAATTGCTTTCTAGTTTATTAGTACTTAACATGAAATGTCAGGCAAATTAATATTTATCCATTCATTTTCTTTGTTGAGCAGTACCAGGGACGGAACCCAATGACACTAGGTTCAAATTACAATGATTATTGATTATTGTGAATTTAGTCCTCATCATCTTTAAGACAATGAATGCATTAATCTTTTCATTTCTCATGCTGTTTTGACCAGTTTTGCTTTATACTGCACAACAGAGACATGGGAAAACCTCGTAGTGATCCAGAAGGGAATCATGAAAATGATTATAAATAAAAATCAGTATTTGTAATTGTTGCATGTTTATCATCCTGAAAATATTTTAATAATATTTGCCCTCTCAGTTCAGCCAGTTTATCCTTTTCATGAATTCTGCTGTTCTCAGAGTGAAGACCTAAGGCACAACGTCACTTCTACTTCTTCATTCCACCTGGACTTCAATCATGCATTCTTCATTTCTCAGAAATTTCACTTTTACCACTGCCTAATCTTTTGTTATAAATACTAGTCTGAATTGCTTTGTGTATTTTTTAATTGTGGAAAAGACACACAGAATTTGCCATCTTAATCACTTGTGAGTATACAGATGGACGATGTTAAATACACTCACATCTTTGTTCTTCCACCCCCATCTATCTCCAGAACGCTGATCTCAGGAACCTGAAATTCTGTACCGTTGAAACAATAATTCCTCATTCACCCTTCTCCCAAAACTTGGCAACCACCACTCTATTTTCTGACTCTATAAAATCTGACTATTCCAGGTGCCTCCTTGTGTAGGTGGAGCCATGTAGTACTTGTCCTTTTAGAACTGGCTTGTTTCACTTGGCATAACGTCCGCAAGATTCATTTGTGACATAGCATACATTGGAATCTACTTCCTTATTAAAGATGAATAACATTCCTGTGTGTGTGTGTGTCTGTGTGTGTACATGTATACACACACACACACACACCACATTTTGCTAATCCATTCATCCATCAATGGACTCTCAGGTTTTGCTACCTTTGGGTTATTGTGACCAATGCTGCTGTGAACATGGATGTACTCCTATCTTTTGGAGGCCTTGCATTCAAATTTCTTACTTATGTATCCAAAAACGAGACTTCTAGATCATACAGTAACCTTATTTTAAATTTCTGGAGAAACGCCACACTGTTCCATAGTGGCTGTGACATTCCTACCCGCAGTGCACAAGGGTTCCATTTTCTCCATACCTTGTCAATAGTTGTTCTTTTCTGTTTTCTTGATAGCCTAATGGGGAGAGGTGGTATTTTACTGTGGGTTTGATTAACAATTTCCTTACGAGAAGTGATACTGAGCAACTCCTCATGTGCTTGTTGGACATCTGTAGATCTTCTTTGGAAAGCATCTGTCCAAGTCCTTTGCCTACTGAATTGCTATTGAATTGTAGGAGTTCTTTATATATCTGGATAATAACTCCATATTAGATATATCTGACTTGCAAATAGTTTCTCCCATTCTGTGGGTTGCCTTTCTTCACTCTGCTGAATGTGTGCTCTGATGCATGGTAGTATTTAATTTTGATGTAGTCCAATGTATTTTTTCTTTTGTGGACTATGACCTTGGTGACACGTGTAAGAAATCATTGCTAAATCCAATGCCATGAAGCTCTTCTCTTTATTTTCTTTGAAAAGTTTTGTTGTTTTCATACTTAATGTTCAGGTCTTTGATCCCATTTTGAGTTAATTTCATATATAAAGTAGGATCAAGGCCCCAAATTCATTCTTTTACATGTGAATATCCAGTTTCGGCCACACCATACATTGAAATGGCTTTCTTTCCCCTTTCTAATGCTCTTGGCATTTTCTCAAAAACCATTTGATCACACACCTGAGGGTTTACTTCTGGCTCTCTATTCTAGCCCATTGTTCTATATATCTCTCTTTATGCAACATCCTCCTGTTTTGCTAAATCTAACTTTGTAATAAGTTTTAAGACGAGCGGGTGTGAGGCCTTCAATTTTGTTCTTCTGTCAAGATTATTTTCAGTGTTTGGGATCCCTTGAGATTTCATAGGAGTTTTGGATAAACTGTCTATTTCTGTTAGGAATGTCATTGGAATTTTGATAGGGATTGCATTGAATCTGTAGACTCTGATAAACAACATTGACATCTTAACCACATTAAGTCATTTAATCTCTGACATAAGACTTCTTTCCATTTATTTGTGTCTTTAAATTCTCTGAACAACATTCATAGTTTTCAGTGTATAAGTCTTTTGCCTCCTTGGTTAACTGTGTTCCTTCCTAACTTTTGTGTTGGGGAAGGGAGCTGGAACCGGGGATTGAACCCAGGGCTTCACACATGCTCCGAAGGTGCACAACCACTGAGCTACACCCCAGCCCCTTATTCCTAACTGCTTTTTTTCTTTTTGAAGTTATTGAAAATGGAACTATATTTGCTTTGTGTACTGCAACAACATGCATAAATGGGATCATTTAGTAGTATGTATATCTTTGCATCACTCTTTTTACTGCTATTGTGATCTGTACCTATGTGACGGCATGCACAAGGACACACAGCACCTTCAGGGAAGCTGCCACAAGGAGGAGGAGAGCAGAATGGAATGATACAAAGAGAAGACTCTGCTGTATTTGTACATATTTTTCTTTTTAAATTGGAGATATATATAGAAGATCTATACATTTATTGTAATTTCCTCATGTGAAATATAATTTATAATACCTAATTTTTTTTTAAAAGGACTCTGAAAATGTGTGGTACCTGAGCTTTACCAAGAGCTAAATAAATAAGACTTTGCTTATATAATTTCTGGAATCATTAACTTGGATCTACACTGTCACATTTTGGCTCATTTTTTTCTTGATGTGACAGGAAGTCAACAATCACAGTTCTCCGTTCTGTGACCTAAAAGAAAATAATCACTCTGCAGAAATCTTCATACAACGTGCCTTCACTTACCCTGCACTGTTCAACCTGCCTCCTTTCATAATGCTGAGGTCAAATGAAATCAGCTCAACTCAAATATGCCCAGGACACAGGGCCCCAGCAGGAGCACAGGCTTTTCCCGGGCTACAAGATGCTTCTGAAGACCCTGAGTACGGGAAACAGGTAACTTTTAACTATTTTTCCTTTTTAATTGGGAAATCGTTTTTTATATTATCTATCAATGTGGATATTTTTCAGGGAAAGTTTTAATGCACTAATTTCAGTGTGTTTTTCTCATGAGCTAAAAAGTGAAGCAGGAGGTAATTCTAAAAGACGAATTCAAAAGACAGCACTTGGGCAATCAGATCAAGGGTTTCTAGTTTTCCAACATAGAATCTGAAGCAAGCACAAAGAACTAACACCTCTAAGACATCACGGGGCAACCTTCTGGTTAAGGCAGGGTGCTGCTAGGAAAAACACTGAACTGCACTATCGGATTGCAAGGCGGCTTCAGTGGTGACTCAATATAGAACATAAAACTGGGCTGAAGTTCACATTTTTATAAAGTCAACCTCCCCCGGGGAGACACTGCACTCTAAGAGTAATACTCTTTACTACTCAACTCATATAATCTGCTACTCAACCTGACATTTTTTAAAAAAATAATCATATAGATAAGAGGAATGTAAAGAATGACAAAAATTTATCACCAAAGTTATTGTTAAATAATTATTTAATCATTACAGCTTTCATGTTTAAGTGAGCTGAGTGAATTATCTTTTAGTGAGCAAAGCTTTAGTTAGCATTTTGGCATGCAGAATGATTCACAGAACTTAAAGAAAATCAAGGAGACTTAATTTATGAATTATCTCCTTTTTTGTGGATATGATTCCCACACAAAAATGTTGGCCTCTCAGGGCCACAGTCCAGCACTCCTCTGGCACACAGTAGGCCTGCAATAAGTGCTTGTGGAACAATGAATTCTCCTGAATCCCCAGCTTGTCACATTTTGTCACTGAGACCAAGAAACCACCATGCCCCTCAAGCCTCATCAGGTTTTAAGCGAAACATTATCATTTTAAGTTTCACATCCTGTTCCTTCTTCTGATTAAAAAGTCGTTTGTTTCTCCAAAACAAAATGACTTCTCAATGCCACTTGGGAGTGCGAAGAGAAATGAGGGTAAACATAGTATTTGTCACACTAACTGCATAGCAGCTTTCTTGAGCTCAGGTTGAAAATATAAAATCATAAAAGTTCAAACGGCAACTCTTCAGGTATTTATCTGGCAATTCCCAGTTACAGATTTAAAATATATCATTCAGCACAAACATTGAAATTGTAATGAACTTTGTTCACTACAGACCAGAACTCAAACTAGTGCCAATTCTATCAGGGACACCATCCAAGTTTTTCAGAACAAAAAGAATGTCACCACACAGTGAACTTAGCTTCAAGAATGTCACACACAACATGAAGCCTGAAGACAATGTTGTATGAGGCTTCACGTTACCTGTATGAAAAGAATGGTCACCTACCACCACAGCCATCACACATTTGGAATTATAAGTAAAGATGTTCTTCTCTATAACAAATGCCAAAATATTACTTTTCATTAAACACTCAAGGGAAAGAGTCAGGTATCAGGAAGCAGGTTTAGAAAGGAACTAAATCTAGGTATGTATTTCCAAATTAGCATAAGAAAACACAGTCTCATTTACATCAGCTTCCTGAAGAAGCTGAAACAAATATGTAGCTATGCCAGCAATTCAAAACAGGAGAATCACTGCACAGGTCAAATGTGGTTTTAAATATTCACAGATAATTTCAAGATTGTCAAATAAAGAAAGAAATAAAACTCACAGAGAATGCTGAGCCACTGCTTGATGCTATGACAGTGTGATCTTCATGGTGTAATTTTACGGAGAGCTCCCACTTAGCCACGTCTGGCTTAATAACAGGCATTCTGGAGTCAAGAAAAGAAAAAGAATTAATAATTTTATATCATTCTTTCTCATTAAACAAAATTTCCTTTGATACTAAGTGTGTGGAGTAAAACTGCCGAAGAATGTATTTCTGAACATTTTATTCTAAAAGGTTCCTGGGGTGGAGGGTTCAGATTTAAACTACAGAGGTTTAAAAACCAGTTCAGCCAAAGACAACAGCAGTCATCCAGGGGAAACTGGGTGCCTTCATTTCTCCTAAGGGCCATCATCTATTACTTTATGAATTTAAGTTGTTTAATTGTGACAGTCCTTTGCAAATTAATCAATGCTAATTTTTTCAATATTTAGTTTTCATTCAAGGCAGTTTTAAAAAAATTATAATAAACCACTCTGCCATACATCTTAAAAGTTCAGAGACATAAAATGGATTAATTATGGAGCCAGCGTGATCTGGCATAGGGAATTGTTTTGGTTTGATTTTTACCCCTCGTAGTCAATGAGATTAAAAGCATATTAAGAAGGAACTTCTATGCATTATTCCATAATGCATACAGAATGTCCCTTCATGATATGAATTAGAAAAAAAATTACCTGAGTATATGAACTGGAATATAGCCTCAAGGAAAAATCAAAACAAAACTAAATACTAAGTGGCTGTGCTGAGTTCAGGAGCACCGAAGCAAAGTTAAGTATTGGTTTCTTCTTGGGAGCTTACCATGTATGCCTTTTGCAAACCCAGTTTTCCCCAACACCTAAAATCCAAACAAACTTTCATATCTCTTAACGATGCTAGTTTTTTCATGTGTATGATCACATGGGTTTTTTCCTGTGTATGATCAGTATTTCACAGTCCAGGAAAACTAGGTCAAGCAGCCAGCAAAAATGAAAAACAAACAAACCATTTTTAGAATATAAATGTTTCCCACAATATTTAACAAAATATAATGATTTCTGAATTATTATGTATTTAGATTACTTATACTTATGAAATGTTATTTATTAGGCACTAAACATTAGCACTTTGTAGCATCCGGTCTCCAGCTTAAGTCAGTTTTGTTGTTGTTGTTGTTTTTTAAGTTGCAGATTATGTTTTCACTTTTTCCTCCCAAATTTCAAAAAAATTCTGTCATCAGTGTAAAAAAAAGAAATCAAAGTCATAAAAACCGTCATTAACAAATCACCACTAGTCACAATGTCCAGTGGGTGATGATTAGTAATTAAGGTGAATATCTCTTATTTGGCCGACAGCCTGATCGGTTTCCTGAAGATGAGGAAATGTTTTAAATACTGAGCAGGGGAAAATGAAAGGAAAGTAAAGAAATATCAATGGTTTGTTTCCCCTGTACATTGCATGCAAGGGCTTGGAAGGTGCTTTTCCGGCAACCTGAAGAATGTTTCAGAGGAAAGAGCTTCTCCAAGGAGAGTGAAGGGAAGGGGAGGACTCCAGGAACAACTCAGGAGAGGAGAGAGGTGCGGGCAGAGAGCAGAGCAGGAGAGGGCCCGGCATTCCCCAGGACATTGCAGTTCCTGCGCTCGTCTCCCTGGCTGACCCGAGACCACTAAGAGAACACGACCGTCTCTTCCATTTGCTCATCCTGAGCTCACTCTGCAGTGCTGGGAATGGTGCCCAGAGCCTTGCACACGCTGGACCAGTGCTCTTCTGCTGCCCTGCACCCCAGCCCACTCCTCCCTCCACAGGCTGAGGAGAAGGTGCCAGGAGGTCAGCAGAAGACCATGAAGCAACTGCTCTGTGCCAAACTGGGCAGGAGAGGCAGACCTGCCCAGAGTGGAGGTGAGCCTCGCATACCTGGATACTCCCTGGGGCCCCTGGACTTTGTGTATCACATCTCTAGACTTCATAACTTGCTCACCTTCAAATGGCAAAACACCTGACCTTTCAGGGGCACTGTGGTGGCAGAGGTAGCCCCACGGCTGAGATCACCCTACAACCAGGCTTCCTCGAGTCATGGCTTTCCTCAGTTATCTACAATACTCCACCATCCTTCACCCCAAGTCAAATATTAACCTACCCACCACTCGAGCCCCCTTGCATGCCACTTGATTTCTGATTTTCTCTGACCTCTACATCTGCTGGGCCTGACCCTTAAGCCAAGCAAATAGGAGGCAGAGGACCAAGGCTGTGGCTATAAGCTTAAGCTCTGGAACTCGGAGAAAATGCACAAAACCTGGCCTTGCCCATTACTACTTCTGTCCCTGAGCAAATTAAGTCTTAGTTCTCTTACATAAATAAAATTAAGATAATAACAATGTCTGCAGTAATAGGGATGTACTAAGGATTAAATAGGGTGTATAAATGCTCACTTTTACTATGATGATTCCCCAAGGCTAGGCCTATCCTGTCCTCTTCCTAATCTAGACCTCTTCCTTTAAGACAACTTTGGATGCCTTTCCACCCTGCACTCCAACAGGAGGACACCTCCTCCCTCAAGAACCGCTCCTTAATTCTAAGTGATCTCCCTTCTACTGGGCCAGTGCTACACGGCCTGCTGTCATGCTTTGACGAGATTCAGTGGCCTGAGGCGGCAGCTCTTTCAAGTAAACGGAGGAGACCGTTTTCAGTGATGCAAGTGTCCTCTGCCTCCAAGGAGGTGGGAAGTTGCTGATCCTGACATCCTGTTCCAACCCAGACACATTTTCCCACAGAAAGTGATCTTGCAGATGGTGGCGAGACACAGTTGCCACTCTTCGGGACCCAGCTACTATTTATTTTTCCATTGTTTTATTTTGATCCACATCTGTTTCGTATATGTTATAGCTGGCCCCAGGAGAGACCTTCTGGTCAGAGCACAGGCTTCTGAGGCTAAGTCTCAGCCCTTCTCTCCCTAGAAACATGCCCGAGACCACTGTCAGCCCTTTGGAACCAACACCCCCACACCTGTAAAGTAGGCCCAACAGACCAGGGTAGGGGGTGGGAAGCTGTTGCTTCTAGGCACTGAATCTGGGGTGCAACTCTTCCAACAGTTTTTTTTAAGGTGATACATTAAGCAGTATAAGAGGCTTTGGTGTGAAAAAAGACCTTAAGAATCCAAAGAGAGTCAAAAGCAGGGAATCTCTCTACGAATTCACTCTTACAAACAAAATTCACTAGGATTCCTCTGACTTTCCATAGGTTTGAAAGTAGTTTTGTTTTCTTTTTTGTTTTTTAAAGAAAATGGAAGGACTGAACATATATGCTAGTTAATGAGCAAACATAAATATGTTCAGAAGTAACAACAGGCTATAATAAAGTATAAATAAGGAAAATCGTACATATAGACCTTAAAGTATTCATGTTCTACTTCTGCAAATTCATTGAGAATATACTAATAGTAATTACTTTGAAATGCTGATTTCAGTTTAACAAACACATGCTTATGATGGTAACAAGTGCCTAAAATTATATTTTAAATTTTAGAAAAGAATCACACATATCCACAAAACTCAACATAGTGCACAGGAAGATTTCTATAAACAACTCCATGAAAGAGGGAGAAGGTCTGGAAGCTTCCTTGGACAGGCCACAGTAATGACACCCAGAACACGGTTGCCCCTGCTGGAGTCCATTTCTAGAGAAAAAGGCCGCCACCACAGCAAGAGTTCAGAGGTGCAAGAACTGCAACCAGCAAAGCTGATGTTAATTTACAACTTCACAAAAGAAACAAAACCCCTAGAAAAGTGGGACCCACATAAATAGTAACTCACAAGCAAATCAAATAACAGCTCTCAACCGGGCCTGTTCACTTGTGATTATCACCAGCCAGCCCCAGTGAAGGCTCAATAAAATCTAATTTTTATATATTTAACGGTGGAAAACTGTGCAAGTTATACAAATGAAAATACATTGCTGTTACATGTCACTTTTAAAAGTAGATTTCTGTATAGACTTAAAAACTGACAGTATGTCCATTAGCAAGGACTGTGATCATCTCAAAGGCATATTATTTTAAAAAAACATTATATCAGAAAAACTAGTTTTCGATTGTGTCACTACCTATACAGGAATGAAATACTGAGTTAAAACAATGATAATGGTCAAAGAATCATTAAGAAATGCTTCATCATAACTTTCACAGTGGGTGGTCTGTAAAATGATCTAGAATAATATGCTGCATTCCACAGCCACTGAGGTCAGTTCCTGCATACAAATCTTCGCAGGAAGAAAAAGGCCTTCAGAAAGTGGGCCATTCATCTGAACCCAAGTTCAGAGAATTTCCAGCACGGTGAAAAGCTATGTTATGCAAGCACATAGACGTATTCAGTGGGGGTAGACACACCAGCTACATGGAGACTACAAAGGAGCCCTCCCATGGCTCATGAATAAGTCGAGGAAATGATCAGAAAAAAAAAAGAGAAAGATGTTTAGACAGATGGCCCACTTAAAATGCCTGAGACAGGGCATAAGCAATTTTAATGAAACTTTAGATCTGGTATATGAATTGTTTCTTATTTCCCCAGAGTGGAGGAGGAAGAAAAAAGAAAAAAAGCAAATCCAAGGAAGACAAAAATTTAGCAATTTGCTAGAAAATTGACTTTTAGCAAGTTTTGAGGAAGAGTCACAAATGCAAGTTTCAAGAGTGTAAGAAACTCATGCAAAACTGTTCAGGGAACCATCGGCTATCAAAATGAATATGGAAAGCATGGAATGAACAGATTAAAAGAATTTTAAACAGAAGTCTACTGCCAAACCAAACAAAAATGTACACCTTATTATGTGAGAAGTTAGGACAGTCAGTTCAGCATTAAAGTTCATCACTGCAGAAAATAGATAGATAAAAGCACTTTCAGAGAATCCCTTCAAAACCAGAAATTAGCACAGAGGAGGATTACAATTTTGCCTGTACACAATCTGAAATGTATGTATGTTCAAACATAGGAGACCTGTACAAGAATCCCCCACAAAGCTACGCTGAGAAACAGGGAGCACCCTTGAGTTTGGTGATGTTAGCATTACAGATGACACGCATGACATCAAATCTAGATTGAACAGCCATGTGACTTACCATCTTACATGTTTTAATGT